GTTCACAGTGAACAGTTTGCCTTGAGTCACGATTTACTGATTTCACAGCGCTCCACCTGTCTTAATGATTTGATATTTTTCAGGTCAGGAGTCAAGTCTGTGTTTTGGCTCTTTTCATGGAGCTGCCCGCCTAGTTCGTTCTCTATAAGGTTTAAGCCAAGTCGTGCTAAAATAAATCTGTATTTAAATATACATAATAATAATAATAATAAGAGAGTTTGAATGGAAAACTAAAATTAGATTATTTAGAACTCCTTTTATTACATGTAAATTTGATGAGACCTTAGATAAATGTTGGAAAGGCTGTGGTCTGGTGGGGGATCATTCCCATATATTCTGGGACTGTCCTAAACTGGCAACATTTTGGAAAGATGTGCATTGTGAAATTGAAAATTCTTTGGGGATCAAAATTATATTCAAAATCAAAAGTATATTCGAGCCATCTGTTGTGTTGTTGGGGATTTTTCCAAATAACATAAGAGCAAATCGTAGTTTTCACTTGCTGAAAATATTATTCTTAATTGCCAAAATAAATTATAACAGTTTTCTGGCTCAGGATGCTGCCCCCCACAATTACCCAGTGGAAAAGTAAAATAAAGAATGTGTATCATATGGAGCAAATAATCATCACAGACAGCACGTTAAGACCTTTACAACAATGTTAGGACTTCACCGGAGGAAGCTTATGTGCAAAAAACCTAATTAAAATTCTCAAAACAGGACACAAAACAATGAAAATATATCGAATGACAAGTCCATCGTTTTTCTGTATGAGATCGTTCAGATTGTAGCTCTACTTTAACATCAAGAATCATCTGAAATTCAGTTTACACAGAAGCTTCCTCCAGTGAAGTAGCCTATTTACATCGTTGCAGATGTCTGTGATTATGTATCTGGAGCCTGCTGTCTCTGTCTGACATTTAAATATAGATTTATTTTAAATTTTCAATCCACACTGAATGGAAGAGCAGCTCCAGACTTTTCCAGAGAACCAGAACTAGCCAGACGGTTCTGTGACAATGGCCGATTGTGTAACGACAGTGTATCTTTGAGGTGTGGTGAGTTTGTGATAACGTCAAATATGATAAATGGAGAATGATAAAAAATGAGGACCTTTGACGTAGCAACTGACCATTTCAAACAAAAGATCTCTGAAGCTAAACAAGACTGGGTCTGGTCCGTACTTGGATGGAAGACCTCTAGGAACACCAAGAGCCCCAGTGGTGAAAATGTGGTTGTGTCCTTAGGCAAGACACATTACTGCCATTGCCTAAAATGTGAATGGTGTGTTGGAGGTGTGTTGGTGGTGTGTTGGAGTTGTGTTGTTGGTGTGTTGTTGGTGTGTTGGTGGTGTGTTGTTGGTGTGTTGGTGGTGTGTTGGAGGTGGTGTGTTGTTGTGTGTTGTTGGTGTGTTGGAGTGTGTTGTTGTGTGTGTTGGTGTGTTGTTGGTGTGTTGTTGGTGTGTTGTGGTGTGTTGTTGTGTGTTGTTGGTGTGTTGGAGTGTGGTGTGTTGTGGTGTGTGTGTTTGGTGTGTTGGAGTGTGTGTGTGGTGGTGTGTTGTAGTGTGTGTTGGTGTGTTGGTGGTGTGTTGGTGTGTTGGTGTGTTGTTGTGGTTGTTGTTGTGTGTTGGTGGTGTGTTGGTGGTGTGTTGTGGTGTGTTGTGGTGTGTTGTTGGTGTGTTGTAGTGTGTTTGGTTGATGTGTTGGTGGTGTGTTGGAGTGTGTTGTTGTTGGTGTGTTGGTGTGTGTGTTGTTGTGTGTGTGTGTGTTGGTTGTGTTGTTGTGTGTGTTGTTGGATGTTGTTGGTGTGTTGGTGGTGTGTTGGAGGTGTGTTTGTGTGGTGTGTGTGTAGTGTGTGTGGTTGTGGAGTGTGTTGTTGGTGTGTTGGTTGTGTGGTGTGTGTGTTGGTGTGTTGTTGGTGTTGTTGTGTGTTGTTGGTGTGTTGGTGGTGTGTGTTGTAGTGTGTTGTTGGTGTGTTGTAGTGTGTTGTGTTGGATGTGTTGGTGGTGTGTTGGAGTGTTGTGGTTGTTGTTTGGTGTGTTGTTGGTGTGTGTTGTGGTGTGTGGTTGGTGTGTTGTGTGTGTTGTTGGTGTGTTGTTGTGTGTGTTGTGTGTTGATGTGTTGGTGTGTTGTGTTGGAGTGTTTGTTGTTGGTGTGTTGTTGGTGTGTTGGATGTGTGTGTGTTGGTGGTGTGTGTGTTGTTGGTGTGTTGTTGGTGTGTTGGTGGTGTGTTGGATGTGTGGTGTGTGTTGTTGGTGTGTTGTTGGTGTGTTGGTGTGTGGTGTGTTGTTGGTGTGTTGGTGGTGTGTGTGTTGTTTTGTTGTGTGTTGGTGTGTTGGTGTGTTTGTGTGTTGTGTGTGTTGGTGTGTTGGTGGTGTGTTGGAGGTGGTGTGTTGTTGGTTGTGTTGTTGGTGTGTTGGTGGTGTGTTGGTGGTGTGTTGTAGTGTGTTGTTGGTGTGTTGTAGTGTGTTGGTGGTGTGTTGGTGGTGTGTTGGAGGTTTGTTGTTGGTGTGTTGGTGGTGTGTTGGTGGTGTGTTGGTGGTGTGTTGTGTGTGTTGGTGTGTTGGTGTGTGTTGTTGTGTGTGTTGTTGGTGTGTTGGTGTGGTTGTTGTTGGTGTGTTGGTGGTGTGTTGTTGGTGTGTTGTAGTGTGTTGGTGATGTGTGTTGTTGGGTGTGTGTTGTGGTGTGTGTTGGAGTGTGTGTGTGTGTGTTTGTGTTGTGTGTGTGTTGTTGTTGGTGTGTTGTGTGTGGTGTGTTGTAGTGTGTTGGTGTGTGTTGTGTTGATGTGTGTGGTGTGTTGAGTGTGTGTTGGTGGTGTGTTGGTGGTGTGTTGTTGGTGTGTTGGAGGAGGTGTGTTGTTGGTGTGTTGGAGTGTGGTGTGTTGTTGGTGTGTTGTTGTTGGTGTGTTGTGTGTGTTGTGTGGATGTGTTGGAGGTTGTGTTGTTGGAGGTGTGTTGTTGGTGTGTTGGATGTGTGGTTGTGTTGTTGTTGGTGTGTTGTAGTGTGTTGGTTGTTGTGTTGTTGGTGTTGTTGGTGTGTGTTGTGGAGTGTGTGTGTGTTGGAGGTGGTGTGTTGTTGGTGTGTTGTTGTGTGTTGTTGGTGTGTGTTGTGGTGTGTGTTGTTGATGTGTTGGTGATGTGTTGTGTTGGTGTGTTGGTGGTGTGTTGTTGGTGTGTTGGAGGTGTGTTGTTGGTGTGTTGTTGGTGTTGTTGGTGTGTTGTTGGTGTGTTGTAGTGTGTTGGTGGTGTGTTGGAGGTGGTGTGTTGGAGGTGTGTTGGAGTGTGTTGTTGGTGTGTTGTTGGTGTGTTGGAGGTGGTGTGTTGTTGGTGTGTTGTTGGTGTGTTGGTAGTGTGTTGGTGATGTGTTGTGGTGTTGTTTGTGGTGTGTGTTGGAGTGTTGGTGTGTGTTGGAGGTGGTGTGTGTTGGAGGTGTGTGTTGTTGTTGGTGTGTTGTTGGTGTGTTGTAGTGTGTTGTGATGTGTTGGTGATGTGTTTGGTGATGTGTTGGTGTTGTTGTGTGGTGTGTTGTTGGTGTGTGTTGGAGGTGGTGTGTTGTTGGTGTGTTGTTGGTGTGTTGTAGTGTGTTGTGTGAGGTGTGTTGGAGGTGTGTTGGAGGAGGTGTGTTGTTGGTGTGTTGGAGGTGGTGTGTTGTTGGTGTGTTGTAGTGTGTTGGTGATGTGTTGTTGGTGTTTTGGTGGTGTGTTGGAGGTGGTGTGTTGGAGGTGGTGTGTTGTTGGTGTGTTGTTGGTGTGTTGGTGATGTGTTGTGATGTGTTGGTGATGTGTTGGTGGTGTGTTGGTGGTGTGTTGTTGGTGTGTTGGAGGAGTGTGTGTTGTTGGTGTGTTGGAGTGTGGTGTGTTGTGTGTGTTGTTGTGTGTTGTGTGTTGTGGTGTGTGTTGGAGGTTGTTGGGAGGTGTGTTGTGGTGTGTTGGAGGTGTGTGTTGTTGTTGTGTGTGTTGTAGTGTGTTGGTGATGTGTTGTTGGTGTTTTGGTGGTGTGTTGGAGGTGGTGTGTTGTTGGTGTGTTGGTGTGTGTTGTTGGTGTGTTGTTGGTTGTTGGTGGATGTTGGTGATGTGTTGGTGATGTGTTGGTGGTGGTGGTGTGTGTTGGTGGTGTGTTGTTGGTGTGTTGGAGGAGTGTGTTGTGGTGTGTTGGAGGTTGGTGTGTTGTGGTGTGTTGTTGTGTGTTGTAGTGTGTTGGTGATGTGTTGGAGGTGTGTTTGGAGGAGGTGTGTGTGTTGGTGTGTTGGAGGTGGTGTGTTGTTGGTGTGTTGTTGGTGTGTTGTAGTGTGTTGGTGATGTGTTGGTGATGTGTGTTGTTGGTGTGTTGGAGTGTGTTGGAGGTGTGTTGGAGGTGTGTTGGAGGTGTGCTTACCACCACCGAGTGTGGAGTGAACGAATAATACATCAAATTGTAAAGGGATTTTGAGAGTCTGGAAAAGCACTAGGACAATTTAATACTAATGCATGATTTATTGTGAAGTCTTTAAATTATCTCCCATAACATGAAGCTGAATGTCATGAATGAATGAATTAATGAAGAGTACTACTCATTACACACCTTCTGTATTAGATCAACAACATGGTTTAAAGTTCAGATATGAGTTCATTTAGGTGAAGGTTCAGGGTAGAAAGTAGGCTATAAGGCTAGAAACTATCGGCCTATTTACAGTGTACCTCTAAATGACACTGATGACAGGAGTATGATTGACTCTTAGCTCACTTCCCTCTCACCCTGTGTAAGAGCTTATAGTCTGATGAAGGCAAATACAATCTGATAATAGCAAAATAGAAATATGTGTTGTTTCTTATATTGAACAAATAATAGATACAAAGACTGTAAATGTGAAAATTGAATATTATTATTATAGACAAGAAGCAGAGAAGAATGTTGAAAGTTTGCGTCATGCAGAGCTGTTGCAAAAATGACGTACTGCCGACTCCCTGTGGCTACTTTCTGTACTGCCATGTGAAATATGAAATGACTCATTACAGGGCTGAGTGATGCTTCACAAACTGTCTTCTTAAACTTATGCCTTAGAAACGTTTGGTCACGTGGAGACCTGAGGATTTGCTTGCACGTGCCTGGTGTGCCTGAAACTTATGGAGCTCAGATTCAGAAAAAACATCTGAACACGCTTCATCTCACCCAAGTTAGGGTCACGGACGCGGTCAAACTTCAGGCTCTTTGCCTCAGCGGACGTGTCTCGTACCGCTCCAGTTTAAACCGGCTCCTCTGACATACAACACCGCGGACCCACCCCCCGCAGGACCGGGCGAGAGCAAATATGGCTGGGACCCTCCTCATGAGGACCCTCGTGATCTCCTCCTCTGTGCCTACGAGCCGCCCGCCCGCACAGTTCCGGGGCAGTGTCTGGATTTTCTGTCGCGGACTGAAGACCGTTAGGAGCGCTCCTCTCCATGGCGTCCACCCCCTCCGCCTCGGCTCTGTCCGCGGTGCTCCGCTGTCAACGCAACATCTGGCCCGCCCCGAGCGCGCGCCTGACGGGGAGCACAGCGCGAGAGCTCCCGGTGGAGACGGCCTCGCTGTGGAACGCTTTTACGCACGGAGAGCGGATCGTCCTTGGGCGCCTGGCGCTGTCTTGTAACGGGCCGTGGAAGAAGAAGCACTCACACAAAGTGTGTCAAAGGCTTTCGCAACCCGCACACGCGCACACTGACGGGCATGCGCCTAAAAAAACTGGTGTGTCCACGCGCATCTCGCTCCGTGCGCACCGGGCCAAAGTGGCGTTTGTTTGTGAAAGCGGTGGAGAACGCACGCGCTCCGTGTGTCCGCGAGGACTGGACACTGACCAGGAGAGCGCGTGGCTCTGGGCGAGGGGCGCGTGCGTGTCTATGACGTCACTGTTGTCGCACTTTGTGATGGTTCGTCTGCGCGTGCTGTTCTGCACCCGGACAGGTCACGAGGTCGAGGGCACGAGTCAGAGAGAAGAGCCGCAGGTGAGAGCCTGAGCCTGGCTTTGTTTCTAGAAGCTTTATATCAAACTACGGACAAGTTTGGGGAGAGAAAACTGACGGGCTGGTGGCCTCTGTGAGCCCTGCAGCTGTATTCTGTCACGGACATTCACTGTACATTTGTCCTCTTCTTGTTTCAGACCTCAGGAGCAGCCACAGACTCGCGTCCAGCAGAGGGCGCTGTGCGCGGGGCCAGGATCAAGGAGGACAGACCTGACTGAGTCCAAAGCTCCGCTCAAACAAACTGTTTTTACAAAACAGAGTCACAGACTTTAGCCTTTAACCTTTGGGGACACAGCACACTCACAAGTGACACAGAATATGTGTCTATACCTCACTGACTGCAACACACACTGTTACTCAACATCTGCCAAAGTCGTAAACTAAGGGACAGAGTTAGACCTGGGTTTGTGGTTCTGTGAATGGAGCTGAATGTTTGGGGAGGCATGTTTCAAAATGTCACTTTTATATTCATTTATGTAGAATCAGTCTGATCATGATTTTGTCCAAGAACTGCAGGAAAAGGATTGGATCATAAAGTTCCATAATAATAAACAGGCTGTAACAGTTTTGTGCCAGAAGCCTCCTCTGTCCTCCTCTGTCCTCTTCTGTCATCCTCTGTTCTCCTCTGTCCTCTTCTGTCTTCTGTCCCTTCACCTGAGTTAAAAAAGGACATAAAATGGACCAGTCTCTGTATTTGACCCATCAGTGTGTTCAGATCTGAGCTCGGCTGTGTCAGCACTACCTTAGCTGGAGGAATGTTCTGTACATCCATCTTAATCGTGGTTTCCAGACCTCACTCTCCCCAGACACTTCTTCCAGCTGCTCTGGGGGGACCCCAAGGTGTTCTCAGGCCACAGAGACATACCGGCTCCAGAGTGTCCTGGGTCTAACACAAGAAGGGAACGCCCAAGACTCTTCAGCTGCGCCTCCCCACATGTAGGAGCAGCGGCTCTACTCTGAGCTCTTCCTGTGTGACTGAGCTCCTCACCTCATTTAGCTGTGATGTGTGAGCTCTAGCAACTGTTTCTATAAGAAAACAGACTTCTTCTGATCTGTGTTCTAATGTAGTTTCCTCATCACAAACAGTCCTGGAGTTGTGTTTTGTTTCATTCACAAATGTTTAACACACAAACTCTGCACATTTAGGTTCTAGGTTTAGGTTTTTAACCTCCACACACCTTCACTAGAATCATTTGGATCATTTCAGCTCTTGAATTGCCAAACTCTACTGAACAAAAGCTAAAAGGAGCTGTTCACTTAAAAACTACTGCTTGTTAACTACCTTGGTTAACAGGTGGAACAGAGCTTTGGAGATGTAGACAGACTAATAATAATGTATTACTCAAATGTGTGAATGAAACAAAACACAACTCCAGGTCTGTTTTTGAGCAGGAAACAACATTATAACATAGATCTGAAAATAGCATAACACAGGAACATTAATTATCTTGCCCAAAGACACAGCAACAGTATTCACCTGTGGGCTCTGGAATTGCACCGCCAACCTCTGACCAACAATGTTTATATCACGAGTGGGAGTCGAACCACCAACCTTCAGCTCAGTGGACACTCCACCTGAGCTACTGCTGGATCTGAGCTGTTGTGGTTAGTCTTAATATGACAGAAATAGCCATAGAAAAGCCATGTAATATTAGTCCTAGTTTTATCTTTTATGATTTTAGTCAAAAAAAAAAAGAAAAAAAAAAAAAAAGACATTAACAAAACTCTGAGGTTGAAATGTAGCTCCGGGCTGGAGTTTGGACTGGTCTGACAGGAACAGCAGACACACAGGAGCTGCTCTGGTTCACGCTGCTGGCGCCAGTTCAGTTTCAATTACAGGTTTGTGAATGTCACTCCTGTTTGGACTAAAAGATAGTCCTTGTTAAGTTTTTGTTTAGTCCTGTTTTAGTTTATGTTTAGTCCTGGTTCAGTCTTGGTTTAGTCCTGGTTTCATCCTGGTTTAGTCCTGCTTGTTAAGTTTATGTTTAGTTCTGCTTTAGTTCAGATTTCATTCTGTCTTGGTTTTGTTTTTGTTTAGTCCTGGTTCAGTCCTTGTTTTGCCCTGGTTTAGACCTCTTTTAGTATTTGTTTAGTCTTAGTTTAATCTGGGTTTAGCACTGGTTTAGTCCTTGTTTAGTCCTTGTTTTGTACTTATTTTGTCCTGGTTTAGACCTGTTTTAGTTTAGTCCTGGTTTAGTCCTGTTTTAATCTTGGTGTACTTCTGCTTTAGTCTTGCTTTAATCCTGGTGTAGTTCTGGTGTAGTACCTCTTTAGTCCTGCTTTAGTCCCGCTTTAGTCCTGCTTTACTCCTGGTTTAGTACTGCTTTAGTCCTGGTTTAGTCTTGCTTTAGTCCTGCTTTAGTCCTGGTGTAGTACTGGTGTAGTCCTGCTTTAGTCCTGGTGTAGTACTGGTGTAGTTCTGCTTTAGTCCTGGTGTAGTACTGGTGTAGTTCTGCTTTAGTCCTGGTGTAGTTCCGCTTTAGTCCTGGTTTAGTCCGGGTGTAGTTCTGCTTTAGTCCTGGTTTAGTCCTGCTTTAGTCCTGGTATAGTCCTTCTTTGGTCCCGGTGTAGTTCTGCTTAAGTCTTACTTTAGTCCTGCTTTGGTCCTTGTGTAGACCTGCTTTAGTCACGCTTTAGTTCTGCTTTAGTCCTCCTGTAGTCCTTCTTTAGTCCTGGTTTAGTCCTGCTTTAGTCCTCCCGTAGTCCTGCTTTAGTCCTGCTTTGGTCTTGCATTGGTCCTTGTGTAGCCCTGGTTTAGTCCCACTTTAGTCCTTGTGTAGACCTGCTTTAGTCCTTCTTTAGTCCCGGTTTAGTCCCGGATCAGGTGAGATATCCGGATTTACTTGTATTCAAATGATTGGAGGAAGCAGTAAATTGGAAAAGCACATGTGTGATTTGTTTAGAGTTTGAATCTTTTTTGGAGTAAAATCCACTGAGAACTTTGTCTCTGTGTTAATCCCTCATGAAAAGATCACTCCTGGGCACAAAGGCAGAATTACATCACTACGTTACTTTTTATTGTTTGGAAAATGCTATATTTACCTATTAACATGTTTTATAAGTTTCTCTTTTATTTTTGATGCTTTGAGTCCCCCCTCCCTTTGCTCTCCACCTTAAGTCTCTCCCCCTTCAGAGCACCATTACAACACAATCAGCGCGCGTCTCACTAATGAAACTACCGCACAGCACGGCAGGTTTGTACTGTACAGTTCTACCTCATGTTTTTGTATATTTGCGGAGATTTGTCGTGTGGGAGCGTGGGTGATGTAGGCTTGAGGGCGGAGCCTTGTACAGACTCTTACAGTTAACCATAAAGAAGGTATATGGAATAGGGCCTGGGAGAGATCGCTACAGCTTCTCCAGGCATGTGAACTTAATATATATGAACTTAAATACAGGTAAATATTTTCAGGGAGGTAAATAAAAAATAAAAACAATAGGACACTTGAATCATGAGCTTACAATAGAGGCCTTGCACCGTCACGTGTCCCCCATAGCAACGGTACCTACGCCGCCATGACACCGGACACACTATGTCATTGACTTCAGCAGCATCTGAGAAACACGGGCAGGTTTTGTTGTGTATTTGGTTGTTCTAGACGCTCTGAAAGGGATAAAATGATTCGTTTTTTCACTGTTCCTCTGGAAATGAGCTCAAACAAGGGAATTATCGAAAAAAAAGATGAGGATTATAGCTAGAGAACATAAACCGTGAACAGATTTCCAATGGTACCATCAAGACACACTCACGTCACTTTCATCAAGGTATTTGCAATTTAAATTGTTTCATAGCTTATTTAAAGTGAGAAGCACATTTACTGAACTAAAATGTAAAAAGTAAACATTTGCAGTGTGAGTGGCAGTAGAAACTGTATCTTCCAGCGCACATATAAACATGTCACTCGTCGTAGGACCCATGTTTTCTTTATTGCCTTGTTTATCCACAACTATGTCTTCTAGAATGAATCGCTTTTTGTGAGTGGATCTTTCTAACGTTCGTGAGGATCTTTTCATGGCCGATTCTTTGGAGGTTTGGCTCACAGACTCTTCGACTCATGCGTCATGTTGATCATAGGAGCTCAGTGTGGGTTTGTTGAATCATAAGCTAGTGCGGGTTTTCCTGAATAAATTAATGAAATTTTAGTTCAGTAAATGTGCTTCTCTCATTAAATAAGCTATGAGACAATTTAAATAGCAAATACCTTGATAAAACTTCAGGTGTCTTGATGGTACCAGAGGAAATCTCTTTGCGATTTATGTTCTCTAGCCATAATCTGATAATTCCCTTGTTTGAGCTCCTGATGAGTAATTTCCAGTGGAACAGTGAAGAAACGAATCATTTTATCCCTTTCAGAGCGTCTAGAACAACCAAATGCACAACAAAACCTGCCCATGTTTCTCCGATGCTGCTGAAGTCAATGACATAGTGTGTCCGGTGTCATGGTGGTGTAGGTATAGGGGTCACGTGACGGTACAAAGCCTCTATAGATGATCTCTTCCCAATAGTGAGAGGAGGCAGTGGTCAGACCCTGAGTTTATTCCAGGGGCAAAGGTCAAGCAACAAAGAAACAAAACCACAGAAGAAGAGGCTGGAGGACAAAGACTACACAGTAAGTCAAACGCCAGGTATGAGCAAAGGTATAATGAACAAAAGGAGTAGTTTGTGTAATTATAGTAACTATACAAACCAGTTACATTTCATTCTTTTTCTGTGGAGTTGTGCAGGTGACATGAAAGTTACACACTGTGTTTAGAGAAGAGATGTTTAATTTACATAATAGGCCCACAATAGGCCCACATGCAAACACAGGCAAACACACACACACATAAAAACTAAAAACTGTTGTGAGCTTTTGGGCGAATCATGAAATGAACTTCAGGATGAGTTTGAATGACTTGAATTCTGAATTTCTCGTAATCTATAAACTATTTGAAAGTTAAATGGGGGTTTGAGTTGGGGTTATTTGCCAGAGTTGATGTGGTTGAGGTTAATTCAACTTCCTCTAGTGTTAATTCAACTTCTCTTAGTGTTAATTTGGTTCCTCCCATTCACCACTTCAAACTCCTGTGAGAGAAGACCTGCTTAAACCAGATTTGTACATAATTTCATCTTAAATTAACTCAAATAAAGTAAAAATAAAATAAAACAACTCTGTGTGTTGTTTAGCGAAATCAGGATAACTCTACAAAGTGTTATCTGTTTACTCTCAAAACGTTAATATAACTCTGGATTTCGGGGTTAAACAGGAACTTTGGTCCAGTGTTACTTAATTAACATTTCCAAAAATGTTAAATTAACTCTAGAACAGACTGGACTCATATAAACTCTGAGAAAATGTTAAAGTTGATTCTGTGAGAGTCAAATTAACACTCCACTTTTTGTTGTGTAGGAGATCAGACATGTGAGCACTCACACAGTCCACAGGAGCCCGGATCCCACCAACACCACTGATTTGTCCCACTTTTACACAAGACATGTCCCAGGGGTCCGGAGTAAAAATAAAATAAAATAAAATTTTAAGAAAAGATTGTGTTTTTAGACATAAAAAATAACCCCTCACAATC